CACCCGGTATGATTGAATTTTTAAAATTTATTCTTTAGAAAAGTCATTGAAGGTGGCGACAGAACGGAAGGTGGCTATTTATCAGAGCAAATCCTCGGGAGCTAACATTACAGGGGTGTGCGTGGTGATTTCCTGGAGAGAAAAACTCGCGTATAAATAATATTAGAGTGTAGACGTAACTCGTGAGCAGCGCTGCGCATTTCCATAATTCTGCTCGTTACCGTCGCGGCGCGCCGAGGCCGCAGCCGCCAGCTTGCGATCTTATCTGTTCTTTTCGTTGGATACGTAAATAAAATTAATTAAACGCCTTTCGGTAGAATTGGCGGAGTTTCTTTTAATTTTATATCCAATCTAATTAGAAGTCTGCTCTCAATAATTAACCTTCGAACTGAACGCCCATGCGTAATAAACAGTTATCTGAATTCGCAAATAGAAATCATTTATCTTTTCTTGGTTCTAGATAAATTGGATAATGTACAATAACGTTAATTAATAATATTTGATACTGAATAACGATGACAGACGAGAATCCTGCGACTGTTACAAGCGAATTGCTTCGATATGGGGCTGAGGCGAACCGTGGCACCACAATCCATACATAATTAATATCGGGCAGGACAACTGGACCGGCGACCGGGCTCGGACGATTAGCATAGCTAGCCGGTGTTGCGCCCTTGCACAATGCACTCATGTTCGTCGAGACGCGCGAAATATGCACAACTGGTTGCTATGCATTTGTTGCATATAAGACAAACTGCATTCTGCAGAATCCGACATCTCCTTGTTAGTTTAACGTCGACCTACCACATCTGTCGAAGTCACATTTCCTGAATGGTAAACATGCGCTAAACATGATATTAAAAACTTAATTATTTGATGTCATCTCTTTAAATCGCATGCTAGAGTATAATGTAGAGCTTAATGTATTTTATTCACTCATTCCCTCATTACTCTCAGGTTAGACGAAGTGATGTCGGTTTCATTAAAACGTTTCCCCCGCACGTCGTACGCTGAATGAGACAAAAGTGTTGAGCAAGTTTAATCTAAAGAGCGTACAGAATATTAAAAACTATCCGAGTTGTGTTGTCACCCCTAATCGCCGCTTGCATGCATTAACTGACACGCCACGTACCTCTATGCCTACCTATATGTTATTATATATTTCCGGGAAACCTATGAAATGATGCATTCAAATACATGATGCTGATGCAGTGGTGGTTACATTTCTCGGAGGTGCTTAAAGGGTCAATTTAGTTTTAGTTCAGTTGTCTATGTGATTTCAGTTAGAGGGAGCCATCAAGGCGGTGCAACTATAAAGTTTTTAATTAAACGCGCCACTAGAGGCGGTGGGGGCTTAACGACCGCATTTTTCTAGATTCCCTTCGCGCGTTCTACTCTCGGAAAATCTCTTGGCACTGCACGAATAATTGCACAAATTAATAATACCAAATCGGGAGACGAGGCGACGGCTGCGAAGCGATTCTTTTCATCTGCGAAAGTGGATTACATTAGCATACATAGTGAACGATTTTAAAAGTTTGAAGTGAGCTTAATGGTGACGGGAATTAGTCGTCATAAAGTATCTTTTGAGCAGAGAAAGGTAGTTTTTGTGGCGCGTCGCCATTTGTCTGGAGAACGGGAAGTCGGTAGCACTTGGGAGTTTTAATTGATTTACGGCAGGTGGAAGTGGGCGTGTTCGGGCTGTGAGACGAGGCGGCGCGGGCACGAGCGCGACCTGGTCTCAAAGGAGCTCACTACCCGGCTTGCTTTGAAACTTGTATTTATCGGCGCGCACAGCCCGAGCTCGGCCGCAATCAACCTTTTCTGTTTACTAAGCCGCTGGGCAAACGGACTGACTTCATCCGCGCCGGGCTTGTTATAACATATTTCTCTCATTGATATAAAGCAGCGAGCCAGTGTTTATTGTTTCGTCAAGTTGCACCTCGCATTAACTGCATACCATTACCATAACGTACAGAATATAGCCGTAGTCGATGGCGTGCTAATGGAAAAACTTGTCTACTTTGAACAGATGCCATTAAAGAAGTTTCCATTAAGTATTCGATCATAAAACGAACTCCATCATATAAAGGCATGCTAAGAAGCTAGCACGGGTAGCACGCGTATCAATGCAAAAGCTAATAAAAATAAAAGCGTATTTGCCGGAGCAATGTTCGACGCTTGTGCAGAAACTTTTTAACTTTTAAGTTAAAAGTGCAGCTCGTCAAATATTAATGTCATGTCGAGAAGCGGGAGCTCGTGATATTTTCCCATTTTGACATTTTGCGACGACACCGCTAAGCTTTGAGGCGTATAGGACCAAAAAAACATGGGACAGGTGTTACTCGCATTTAAATTGGAAACTGGTTGAACGTGGTGATCTTCTAATCTAAGTGATATAGCTACATATGTGACATTTATATGTAGCCCTGTGTAATCGTGATCGATGCTAATTAATGATGGATGGATATTGCAATGGATATTCGCTCTGGGTAATTAATGCTGTGAATAATGATATCAATTCACTACATTTCATGCTAGCTGTCTAATGTTGGTACAATCACTGAAGATTGTCGTCGGTTATTGATAATTTGCATATCTATCAATTTCATAACGTAGATATGCACCTACGTATAAATTTGAATACAACATTTTCATTCATTCACACGTCAACTATTATAAAACGTTTAGCTGACAGGCTCACGGACAAGCTAAAGTTTTTCTACATTATTTAAAAAAAATCCAACAAAACCCCAAATCCCAAATGAAACGTGAAACGAGTACTGAAATTACGAAGCCGAAAATATAATATATAAGTATTAAAGTAACGTGCGGGGTTCGCATATTAATGAGCCATGATACAATGAACTGAAATGTACGGTCTGTGACCACCCCTAGCATGAATCAGCCGAGCCAAATGTTATTGCTCCGTTCCGGCTGCCGCAGTAATACTACTATCATAGGGCTGTCAAAAATCGTTAAAACAATCTCCGAGCTTCCGGTGATACAGAATCCCTCACTTTGACGTGCCAAAGAGTTTTTCTTTAAGCAAGTTCTCAAAGAAATAATTTGTATTGTTTGAAACATTTTAAAGCTGTCGGAATTTTCCTCGTTAGCAACAACACGGATAGGGTTGCCCGTCCCTACCCAGATCCTGTAATTGTGAAAGTCTCAGCGAAGGCCGATATGTATCGCTACCCTTTCAAATGGACCATTTGGACTGTATAAGTGTGCACCCTTTCACCACCATTATTACAAAAGTCTATAAAAGAAATATATTCGTCGTTTGTTTGTTGTATGCTATGTAAATGATTGAAACAAAGTGATTACTTTTCTAAGAATTAGGTATCTATTAGGATGATCGATTCCATGTAAATGGTAATACATATTTAATGTTTAATTATGATAGCGATTTTCACAGGTGAACTAGCGGTCGCCCTGGGGTACGTTATTGTATAACAAATGTCAGAAGTTATAATAAGTTTGCGTTCGACTCATTTACATTCGATTCCCACGTTGATTACTCGCCATATCTCTGTACAGCGACATACATCACTGGTAAAATAACACGTGTATTTACATCATATGAAAATGTATATTTTTATGTGAGGATTTTGCAATATCTCGTTTCCAAAGCGCTGGTATCTGGATGGGGATATTTTTTTTTTAATTTCGAAAACTCTAGAATTACATTACCGTTATATTTCTATAATGATTTTTGTAACCGAAGCCGAAAGTAAGTTCCTAGTTTAGTTCAGAGACTAGGCGATATAAAAAAATCTATTTACATTGCGAAAGAGTCGTAATAAATCACATTTTCGTATATTAAGCAATGACACTACAATTCCCACGCGGCGCCATCACAATATCTAAAAGTAACCATTCTAGGTGAGTAATTACTTATTTTTAAGCAATGATAATATATTAAATTATAATCAGGACGAATTATTTTGTGATTATTGAAATTAAAAAATAATTACACTCAACTTTTCATATAAGAAACATTTTTTGTACGAGCTTATGTTACGTATTTTTCTTACGTATTCCCAGATAGATTAAGATCAAAATTAACGGATTCGATTACGTATATTTTTAGTTTAAGCTGGGCTAACGAACATTGATTTTTATAAGTATGTACCTACAGAAAAAATCTAGCATTTCGTTTTTCACACGTATTATTTAAAAAAGGAAGATAAAGTCTTAATATACTTGACTAATCTTTACGAAATTTTACACCGGTGCGTAATAAAGTTATTAGGGAATACCAACAGAGGCATACAGGCCGAATTCACAAAAAGAAGTCGCAAGTAAAAGCAAGATGTTATAAACACCATGTATATGATCTTACGTAACTTCCCTTAATTGCGTTTTAGCGGACACTTAAAGGATGTTAAAAATATCAAACTACTACTATATTAAGAGATGTTATTTGTTATTTAAACGTTAACAACTTATTTCTCACGCTCCACTTCCAATAAGGTTATGGTCGTAACCGACTCTAATCAACTTCAGCTTTCAGATGGATGTAATTAAGTATTTTACTATGCGCATGAAATAAATTGCAGATTATTAATTCAGTCCCGTTTTAAAAATAAGTATAAAAAGAAACTGGAAATTTGTCTTCTGTGTCATTTATTTTTAATATGTGAAACTTAAATTTACTTATGTAAAGGCAACAGGTAAAAGAGTAAGGTGTTAAGTACATACGTTAAATGAAAAAAAAAGAAACAAACAAATATACAAATTGCACAGTCGCATATGGATGTAGCAAATTAGAATTCTTTCAATGAAACAATGAATTTATTTTTGCAAATAGGCCATAAAACGGCATTTTTACACGTCAATTTATATGTGAAAAACTAGATGAAGCCGGCATTTCTATATATTATATATACAATATATACAAAAAAACATATATAATATATACAAAAAAAAGAACATGCAGCCGGTTGCGCAATTGAGAATTAAAAAGTAAAAATAAATAAATAAATTGAACTTACCTCTTAATATCTGATAGAGGAAGACTTTGATGTGGTCGGCGGACAGGTGTTGCGGTGAAACGATGATCTTGTGCAGGTCGCTTTGTAGCAGTTCTGTGATCACGTAACTGAACGGAGAAGGTCAAGGAAACTTTCGTTTTCAAACATAAATAAAAAAGAATTAGCACATATTTGCTTTGGGTCTCACGTTAACCAATTCACTCTGAAACGTTATATAGGAACCCTAACTACTTATGCAAACGCATGCACACTATTCCGTTCAGACATTCATGTGGGAGCTGCAAGTGACACATGGCATTATTATTCCTATCACCACAAAGGGTGGCTGCAGAATCTCTCCGAGTGTCGCAGGAGCGGGGCCTACAATCCGTCCGGCCCACAAGGCCAAAGCCCAGCCGTCTCACCCGTTATCTCGCTTATCTGCAGCACGCCCCTCGTGACCATTATCAAAATTACAGGCGAGTACGCCTCGCACACTTGTTGCGGCTAAACTACATTACAACTTCAACGTTACGGGTGGAATTTCAACGAATTGTAATTTAGGAACGGACCCACTGAGCATTGAAGCTAAACTTGATAATGTTAGTCATATAACCAATGACGTATTATATATAGACACGTCATGAACCAACATCGCGGCGCTTAAAAACGGCGAAAATACTAGATAACTACTTCTACGACTAAAGAAAGGGAAAGAAAATATGACATCGTATAGTGGAATGCCTTTGCTAGAGGGAGATAAATATACATCTTCAGTTATGCCGACGGCACGTGACTATACTTTCATGCGCCGGCCGCCAGAAGATGGCGGGCGCCGGCTTCGAAAAAAATAAAATAAAAATAGGTTGTTTGGTGAACTTACGCATGAAATGACACATTTTTGTCTTTAACTTTTGGAGTATAATTTGTACATCCTCTGAACACACACGACGGCATGCTTTCTTTAGTTTCGCACAGGTTTACACACACGATATAAATTATAACAAACGTAGAGTCGCGCGGGAGGTTGGTGCGTGACTAAGCGCGATGTTGTCAAATTGCCTTCATTTCATGTTGCCATTTTAGAGCGCGGACAACGTATCTATAGATTTATACATCATTGCATATAACACATGAATTTAAAGTCCGAGTTATGGCATTAATCTTATTCCCAAATGTGACTGAATGTTTCATTTACTTCAATTAGCAAATTACTACTGGGTGAAGGTAGGTAGTAAAAAATGTAATGCAAATACTTTGAGAGCATTATCAGTACGTAGCAGCGACTATAAAATATGTGTAAGTGGCAGTTATTTAATCCGTAGCGATGAATATTGTGGTCGTGAAGCACGAAGCGTCTTGAATAACGGCCATAAAGCCTACATTCGACCTTAGAGCTGACGCATTAGCGCGGCCAATGTACAAACTATCGTGGATGGTAACTTATTATGTAAGGACGAAGACGACCGTGGCATTCTACACGATACTACTGAGAATAGTAATTTGAAGCTGATACCCTACAAGAAAAAGATGTAAGATTATCTTGGGAACATCTTGATGGATTGGGATACCTTTCCACGAATTGTATGAGGTGTAATCAGTTGGAGGCAGAAAAGTATTCGTGTTAGTTCGAATGACATGTTTTATTATATTACTTCAGGTTTTGAGTAATTACTGTATTTCAGCTCAGCTTATTGGCCTTAAATTTCACAATCCCACGATAAAGGCTGGTTCTTGCAATCTCCTGTGCGGTAAGCCACATCCGTATTTGAATCCACGGCTATTAGGGAGGCCTGTGATGCCACAGCTAGACTTTCGTTACTTTATAATATTTCTGTTCTGTCGAAACCCATGTCTGTCATACAAAGGAATTAACTCCCATCTTGGAATGTATTTACCGCGGCGTTGTGTTCATTGTCAGCTGACGGTAATCTCTTGTCACTTCGTTAAGTGTTATTGTTGATATTCTATTCGTTTCTACTGTTCGCTTTGACGATCACTTTTTTGATCGGTGAATTGAAGAAAATTACGTTTTTAACTATTATTGGTTTATAATGTCTCCATCAGACATTTATTGCTGTACCATATAGCATAATGAATCAATCAATTGTGTTTTATTGTTAATTTTGTAAATGGATGTGTGCTAGCTTTAATCAATTTATCTTTTCTACGAAACTATTTCATATCTACAAAGAGATTTTAATGCTAAGTTAGCGTTAGTTTTATTAAAAGTAATATCAATACTAGAATCATCAGGTTTTCAAAAATTTCTTTTGGAATTAGGTATGATTAGTTCACACAATTACGGATATCTGAAGCCGGTATAAAAATAACACATGTTTAGTTTAAAGTCGTTCACATTATAAAGGATATTTGATAAGATATGAAGCTATCAGTTCATAAATATCGTCACGATGAACTCCTTGATAATGTTCGTCTGATTTACCCTACGTGGCGCGGCCTTTAATGGTTTTGTTATGACTCACACAGATGCATGGTGTGGTATTCAAGCCCGGTTTTTATTGTAAATAAAAAAGCAGAGAGATTGTATATACACGTATCCCTATTGATTTAGTAGTAAACCAGTGCATTTTGTATATAATCTTTATAAAATTTGTGAGCACAATTAACCGTAGAAAACTTATATAGAATTGAATTTCGAATATAATTGTAGAGATGTATTGAATGCTTGTACTCGTAGCTAGTGAAGAATTTTGATACAATAGTGATATATTATTTGGCTATCTAGTCGTAAGTGTCGTTTAAATGCAAAATTTTAGTTTGTCCACCCATGTAAAGGCTGAACAAGGGGTATTATTAACACGAAGCGATCAGTAATCAGTGTCTATTATGGCGTTATCTCCCCCGGGACCGGTCGTGGTAACGGTCAATGAGGGACTCCTATTCCTATATAAAACGGACATCTACGTAATCGTTTATTCCGCGAACAATATACTCGCAACTAACAAAGAACATTGAAAACATGTTTTTCCATAAAAAAACTTTCGCCGTATTTCATAACGATTCCAAAGTTTTTAGCACAATGTGTTTCGTATACATTATTTACATTACAATGAGAACACAAATTTTATGGTAACTGATGAATGAATTAATTTGTAAGTTGAACCCTTTTACATCTAGTTCAAACTCGTTTTAATTGAAGCTAAATTAAAACTTTTTTTATGAATAACTCTTTCATTTTTTCTCGTTGAACATTGCTCACATATTCATTAACTTAATAATAGATGTACCTAGCGTTTTTATTACAGCTTGTGGAGGTTGGAAATCTTTTTAATAAGTATAGTGAGCGAGATTGTGTCCAGTAATATTCTATTCCTTTATGACTAGGGGATCTAATGGCATTCTCAATGAGGTGTGAATTTACGACAAGTACCTACTTAGGTCCTGCGAAGATTGCCAGAATATTGTAGTGCTTAACTAGATAAATGCGGTAATTCTCAGAGGAAAATCTAGGCAATGGCTATATTGTCTCTGGGCTGGTCTCTTTTGTTTTATAATATGCCTATTTTCCTTGAAAGGGTAAGGTCTGAGCTTAGATTTATCTATAACATTATCTAGTTATTATATGTATATACCTAAACTATTTTTTACTTAATGCGTTCTATCAAATGAGGATACGCATCCAATTATTTTGTTTCTTAGATCGCAATATTTGAAATCCGACCCATTCTTACCTAGAGTCTTGTCATCACAAATATGTACAAACATATTTATATGTAAAAGAACAATATTTTTAAAGGCTAAAAGCTGTACTTCTACTTCTCTCCCCTACGTTTACCTAACACTAACTAAGATCTAAATGACATTGGAACGTGAATATAAGGCAAGGGCACAATCAAAGAAATAGCCAAAAATATTTGAATGCGGGTCGTCCCGGTCACGTACCGGACCGCGGTCGCTTGCCTAATCTGTATCTATTGGAGACCTCACCGAATCCTGCCCTATCTATAGTGCGGATTTCAAGAACCAGTACTCATTTATTTTCATTGCTATTTTGAAATACGAGCTTGTTTTAGTGTTTGCTTTAACTGAGTTTCTTGTTAAGGATTAGAAACGGCACAATAATATTGAAATATGTGCATTATGTAGTTGGCGCCTGGAAGCAGTTTATAGGTTCAAACTTAAATAATGAAAATAAAAATATAGTTTCAAGAAACATGACGCTTGTCTCAGTATTGTAAAGTTATTAAAATATTTCAAACTAAGTACTTATATGCTACTAAAATCCAAATTAATAAATCCTATTGTTAGTTATTTTATTTATACCAACAAATAAATAAAAACAAAACTAAACGTTGTGTACACACGTGCTTGTGAGACTAGACCAACATACGTCAACAAAACCACAAGTGATAAATAGAGACGGATTATACAACCCGTCATCTAATTTTAAGATACGAAGATATTAGCTATCGGACGAGTATAATATATGTCAACTCGTACACAAAAAAACAAAATATGTGTATAGAATAGACATTACTATGAATACGTACCACACGCATTCACAAGGCAAAAGTAACAAAGATCGTTCTTATTTCAGTTGTACTTTGAAATATTTTTATATAAAATATAGGAAAATGAATAAAGTAAAAACTGGAACTGCAAAAACAGCTTCACGAAATAAGTTTAGCCAGTTTGAAAAAAACGTGAACATTTATTGCAACGAATTTCTTTTGTGACTTTTTCTAAAGTTCGGTCTTTCTGAGCCCGTAGTACAGATATTTCGTAACTCAATCAATTCCATTCATGCTACTATTGAATGAAAAGAGTGGTGAATTGACCCTTGACATAGTAGAAAACAGCTTACGTTTTGCGTAAATGATTGCACGATTTGGCATGCGTCGACCTACATTCAAATAGTTTTATGCAATACTTCCTATAATATAAGATTGATTTTTGATCGTACTAAAGTAAGACATTTTCTAACAAAATCAATTTTCAATTATCAGTTCTAAATTGTACAGCGACATGTAGATCACAAGCAATTTTTGATTAAATAGAATGAATAGTAGAGGCCCTTGAAATGAAAATCCCTTGACAGGCAGAACGCTGGCACGACTCAAACGGACTATTCATAACGGACCCAAGAAATTCCCAGAGCCGCTCG